AGAACGAAAATTGGCTTGGCAGCCGACTAACCTCGGTGCCACAATGCCCCTTGCCTTCTCCATCCAGAACACCTTTGAGACGAATGCGATAACCGGGGCATCTGGGGATCCGTTGCAGACTTGGAGAACTAGGGAAAATGAAATCATCGCAGATGAGAATACTGGTTGTAGCAATATAAATAATAGAAGTATGCAAACTAAATTTTGATGGAAATTTAGTTTGTAGGTTGACATGCAAATTGAATCTTTAATTTACCTATACTCTGAATAATATTTGGTGATTATAATAACTCGAACTTCGCATTACTTATAGATGATAAGGTAGAATGGGTCTCAAAAAAGTAAGCCATGCGAAGATTCAGCTTTTAAGCAAACTAGTAATTACTCCGTGAATTCAAAAGCTCTATATCCCTGGTGCAACACAAAGAAGCCAAGATGAAAAACTTTAGAAATAAAAGCGTGCAAGTTACCAAATTGGGAAGATAATAAAAAGTAAACATCGGACCACCAACAACCAATAATTATTAACAAGTGCCATAAGAAGCCACATCAAGAGCAAGTATGACGTCATTATACTTGCTGTGAACCCGTGAACCCTCGTTTAATTGTATCTTCATCGTATGAGGCCCTTCGTTCTGTAGTCATCCAAATGATCTCGCTTTCAGTTTTTGCGATGTGTTCCGCTATTTATGATCTTTTGGTATCCATTTTTCTGCAGAGTTTTTAATGCTTTTTGATTCGTGGGCCGATTTTTCTCACTGTTTAGTCAATATATTTCCGTTTGCAGGTCCGGTGCGCTACGCAGTAAACTCGTAATAAATCCGATTTGTCTACCCTCATGTCGCGTGGGTAGATTAGTGAAGTGCTGTTTTTTCCTTCGTGATCATCTGAATATTACATTTTTAGTATTAATCATAGTTTTTTAATTAGTTCGCATGAAAGCTGAATTCCTGGATGAAGAACTGGGCACGGAAACGTATACCCGAGAGAAGCAATACAAAGAAACATAGGAGCCAGGGAAATTAGATGGCAGGACTGGGATTATAAAAAAGTAAGGATGAAGAAAGACATACAAAAGTGGATATACCTACTTTCATATGAACCAACTCAAAAACTATGATAAATACTAAAAATGGAATATTCACATGGTCACGAAGAAAAAGATTGTACTCTTCACAAGTCTACCCAGGCAACACGAGAGGATGGACAAATTGTATTGATCCAGAGTTTACTGCATAGCATACGGGTTATGCAAACATAAATATATTGGCAAAACAGTGAGAAAAATCAGCTCATGAATCAAGAAATATCAAAGGCGCTGCAGGAAAATGGATACTAAAAGATTAAAATAGCGGAAGGCACCGCACAGACTGAAAAGGAGATCATTTGGATGGCAACAAAAATAAGGGCCTCATACGGTGAAAACAAAATTAAGCAAGGGTTCACGGGTTGAATCACGGAAATGGGCCGTGAAGACAATGTCTGGTATCTGCAAGTATGGGCATCAGAGCATGCTCGGTGAGGCGAAGTGTACGTTGTATAAGGGCTTGAGAAATAGCGCCTGAAGTGAAACGTATACTTTGACTACAATCGAGTGAAATCAGTCGACTAGAAAGATAAGAAACGGAGCTACGACCGCATGAATGAGACCAGGATAGAAGGCCCAAGTAGGATCGGCAAATCGAAAGGGCAGGTAAACAGCAGGTATAATGACATCACACAAAACTCGCAAAAAAAGGGCATATCTATAGAGTGAAAAAT